TTGGAAACAAAGGGACAACCAATGCGAGAACTATCTGATCCTATTTGGCTGGCTGATTTGGGGTTTCTAGTTGACATAACAAAGCATCTGAATGTACTGAACACGAGTCTTCAGGGGAAAGATGCAGCGGTGAACCAGCTTTATTCACACCTCAAAGCCTTTGGGACAAAGCTGCAACTTTTCATAAGGCAGTTGTCACAAACACAGCCCAATACCATACATTTTTCAGCGTTGCAGGAAATAATGAACAGTTTTCCACAGGACAATATCAGTGCGCAAACGAGCAGGTATGCAGCAGACATTGCATCTCTGGCTGGGGAGTTTAAACGGCGCTTTCAGGACTTTGCAGCTATTGAAAAGGAGATCAGCCTTTTCTCCTCTCCATTCTCTGTTGACCCCGATGATGCTCCAGATCAGCTGCAGCTCGAGCTCATTGAGCTGCATTGTGACAGCGAGTTACGCAGTCGTCACCAACAGCTCTCTCTTGTGAACTTTTACCGCCAACTGGATAAGAGCCGGTTTCAAGAGATTCGAACATTGGCTAAGAAAATGCTGAGCTTGTTTGGCTCAACATATATGTGTGAGAAGACATTCTCTGCTATGAACTTTAACAAGAACCGCGTGAGGACAAGACTAAATGACTCTCACCTGCGTGACATTTTGCGCATCAAAACCACTGCCTTTGAACCAGACCTAGCCTATGTGCTGCAGTCCAGATCTCAGTTTCACCCTTCACATTAGTAATACGGCCCCACAGGTAATTTGGCAATATCTATCTTTTATGGCCCCCAACGAATCCATATGTATTGAGATGAATACATTGTAAAATCTCAGTTAATGTCAGTTGGTCTAAATCAGTTATAAATATATTTGGACACAACATGTATACTTGGTGTTATGTTCCTGTTCATATTTTTTGAACTTAAAAGTTGACAGACAACCTTTATTACCAATAATATGTAATGTACTTTACAATGTTCCTGACATATATTTCAGCTTCCTGGATTTTTTTTTTTCATCTGGCCTTCAGATATGAAAGGCAGAGTGATTTAACACCTGTTTAGATTTGTCATCCATGTGACGAAATGAAAAGTATGCCGTTTGCAATAAACTTTGCATAAAATAGTTAATTTGCATTTAATTTTAATGGTTCAAAGAATGTCAGGCAAAATGGTCGGCCCTCACGCATGTTCACTTCTTCAAATCTGGCCCTCTTTGAAAAAAGTTTGGACACCCCTGCCCTACAATACGTACCAGTTCCGACTTACATACAAATTCAACTTAAGAACAAACCTACAGTCCATATCTTGTACGTAACCCGGGGACTGCCTGTACTTGGTTTGTACTCCTTATCCTCTTACCAATTTATATAACACTGAAATGTGTATAACATCAAGCTGGAAGTGTGTGTAATATTTTCTTTAAAGTTTTAACTTGTCATAAATCCTAAAAAACTCTCAATCGCTTGGATGCCCAAACATAGTAAATTTCAAGAAGCATTCCAGTGTCCACTGTCATCAGCTAGCTTTACTAAATGTTTTTGTTTATAGTTCTTCTCCTTAAGTGAACAACAGAGTTCACATTTAAGCTGCTATAACAATTAAGTGCCTGATTCTGCAAGGTGTTGAGTGCCCTCTATTTAGAGCTACTTTTGTACTTTACTGTCTTGAAATAAGCACTGCAGAAATAATTATTGAAGAAGTCTGATCACAACCCAATGTAACCTCATTTTGGGAAGCCTGTTGAAATTTGTCACAGCTTCTAAATATTCATTTTCACCAGTTTACATCTAAACTTGTCTAATTTAGTCATATCCACATTTCACAGCTTACAATGGCACAGCTGCACCAATGCAGCCATACCACTATAAGGGTCTCTCATGTAGCTGCTCTGTGCTGACAGGAGTGAGCTCTGCCATCAACATAATTAAGCCATCAACAATGAGCGAAGGTAGCTATGTCGCTGGAAAAAAAGGGTCTCCCATCAACATACTGCTGTGAACACTACCACTTATGCTGGAGAAAATGACCTCACTCGGGGGGTTCATACTCTTGAGCAACAAAAATTCTGCTAGTGTAAGCGTGGCCTTAAATTCTTCTCTGTATATGTATATTATTAAAAGACCTAATTAGCTTATGTTGTATGGATTATGGAGAAAAATGTTCTTAAATAAAATCTTTTGATACCTCCATTTTCTCTATGTGGTCAAATTAATTCTTGCCAGTATACATACACATATTATCCAAAATATTTTAGTTTGTAAAACTGTAAAATGTAACCCTTTTTTTTTTTCATTCAAAGAAATTAGTGACAAGTCTCCCCAGTTTAAACATGCAGAGTAGTACTCTTCATATTACATTCTAAACCAGACAATATTTACATACATCCTGATGAAGGATGTTAAGTAGCATGTACATGACTAATTGTGTCAATTTGTATCAAGTACACGATTAGTCAATAAAGGGCCACTGAGGCTCTGCAGTTTAAATGTGGTAGGAGCCGGGCTTCCATTTAAACTGCAGAGCTGTAGTGGGGGTATGCTCATCCTGGATCCCGTGCTGCGTCTCTGCCTTTAAATGTATTAAGAGCCGGGTGGCTCTTACAACATTTAAAAGGTAGAGCCGCAGCGCCTCTGTGTCCCCTGCCTCCCCTATCACCACAGAGAAAGACAGTGAGAGGGAACTGGCTTTTAAATCAGCTCCAGCTTTGCCCCTCCCCCTCGATGCCTCTGATATAGAGGCCACAGGGGGAGGAGAGGAGATGCAAGTAGTTGACTGCCGGATAAGCTTAGGCTTATTAGGTAGTCAACTAATCAACTACTCTTTTACATCAATAGTCCTGATGCTGGAATAGACTGTTATTTGCAATAATGTGTTATCTCAAAAAATCGTAAAATTTGAATTCAGAGATGTTCTCGTCACAAGATGAATTCAAATTATATTAATTTTTTAGACAAACTAAAGTGTCTGTACTAGAGTAAAATGTATTGAAAACCACAAAGTTCAATGGAATATACTATGTTGGCCATGTAATTATTTTACAACATACACAAAATGTGTCCTATATTTAAATGTATTAAAAAGTATGAAAGCCACATGTGGCTGCAAAAAAAAATCAACTAAGTGAATCACAGATTTACCCATATATACCTGATTTTGACTTAAGTATGTATTTTGGACCTGATTCAGCAAAGCATGTAAGCACATCCTTAATTTTAATTGTGTAAATTATCCTATAAATGCCAACTGTACTAATCACAGTTTAAGAGTAAACATGAATCAGTGCCTTGTGTACAAAAATCTTTTAATGTTGTCTTCCACCAAACTAGATCAGTTTAAAAAAAAAAAAAAGTCTTATGAAAATAACATTTAAGGTGACAGAAAATCCCCTCCTGCTCAAAAAGGAAAATCTGAGTTAACAATAGGGTATTTTTACCTTAACTGCACAGAATTATTTCAGCATATTTAGCATGTAACATTGCCCTCTATTTGGCCTTTAAATACAAAAAACACCATTTACAAGCTAAACGTCTTTTTTCTTGGAGAGGCCACAACTTTAAATGAGCCTTTTGGAATAAGGGGCAAACATGACACATTTTGGAATCTTAATTCAAATGCTCATTCTCAACCTCACAAGACTGTTATATGGGGCTAAAAATCTTGGGAAAACAGCCAATTATTTAAGTACTTTTACCTCTAGCTATAAAAAAAAAATTAGAGTTATGCAAAAAAAAGTATCTATGCGTGCATACTCCTCCTAAATTTCACAAGGAAAATTTTGTGTATTTTGTTTTTGTTTTTATTTTAAATGGTACACGTAAACTCTACTCTCAAACAAGCAAACATCAAAAAGTAAAAATAATGTATTACTAAGTACATTTGTGCATTTATTTAATAAGTTCCGTTCCAGTCAAAACAAACAAAAGGAAGTTTTTCTTCACCCAGTGCACAGCCAACATGTGGAACTTCTTGCCAGAGAATGTGGTGACAGCTAGGACTTTAACAGGGTTCAAAAAAAAGCAAGATAGTTTCAGGGAGGCTAGCTCCATCAATGGCTATTAGCCAGGATAGGTAGGAACGGTGTCCCTAGCCTCTGTTTGTAAATGGGTGACAGGAGCGGGCTCACGTGAGGATTACCTGTTGTGTTCCCTCCCTGTGGGGCATCTGGTATTGGCAACTGTCAGCAGACAGAATACTGGGCTAGATGCCTTGAGGGCGGGGGGCTGGACTCGATGACCTCTCGAGATCCCTTTCAGTCCTATGATTCTATAATTTGGTCTGATACACAGCATTCAGGTAATACATTTCTGCTAAACCATGGTGACAGAGTACAGTTGCCATGTGGAAATGGTGTGCTGTGTGGATTAGGAAAATAGGAATTAACAAGATTCTTTTGTACAACAAATCCTGCATAAAACACAATTTAATTGGACAACCTCATGTCTTTGAAGACTGCCAAAAAATATTTTAAAATGTACCAAGTACAGTTCTATGTTTTGTAAACTGTGGTCTAAGTAAGATGAAGTCTTTACGCAATTCTGCTACTCCTTTATAAGAAGGCTATGTACATTAAGCAAGTGAAACAAAATTCTGATTTTATTTTAAACACTATATACAACAGTACTTATTTTATGGATCTAGTTTTTAGGAAACCAAGAGGAGTCAATGCTGAGCCTATTAATAAATCAGAGCTAACAAACTTTGGCTGAGCACTGTAAAAAAAGAAAATTCTGGAGCAAGGTATTAGACAATATAGAAGAGCAAGAGCCAAATATAGTCTTTAGTGAGATCTAATTCTTTAATCTGATTCTATTCACTTATGAAAGAGAGAGCTAAAATTTAGTTGGTTCAGATCAGTGGAGGAAAATGCTTTAACACTTTTCTTAGTAGCTTAACAATTTATAAGCACCGAAGTACATTAAATAAATGGAATACCAAATAATTAAGCCAGTTATCTTCCTATCATTGTCAGTTATAAGACTGAGTTTGGAGTTAACTCACCTTTGGCACACCTTTAAAGGATCCAGACAGAAAGAGGCAGGAATCCCCAATAAAATTATGTTCACAAGGAGTCTCTGAAACAGCAAAGATGCAGACATTTCAATTATAACAATAAACTCACCTCAGGATTTTTATCTATGGATTAAGTTCTACAGATTTCCTTATGAAAGTTTCATATGGAAATCTGTACAACCAGAAAAATACAGTGTGGCAGAACTTATTTAAGTTAATGTAGTAGGAGTCATAGGGGGGAACTGGCTCTTGCTCCCTCCCCTTTGTTGCCTCCAATACAGACTACTCGAGTAGTCACTTGCATCCCTAGTCATATAATATTTTCGAAGGGACCATGAAGGGTTTGAATAGTCATTGCCATTTTTTATTACATTTCAAAACTTAAGGATGTCTCACATTTCACATACTGCAAATCCATTAATTTGTGACTGGTAATATCGTGTTCCCAAAATGCTAAGAAATACTCTCAGAAATGGCTAGCCCAGTTTGAATTTTTTTTTTTAAAAAAAGGCCAATTTAAGCAAAGGAAAAAAAATGGCAATTTTTAGCTGATGAAAATTACTTCCCTGGTGGAGTGTCTTTGTTTGGTGGATGCAAAGATTGCATCATAGAATTGGCCGCCCAAATATTGAACAAGAACAAGCTTCAATCAATAATAAAACACCACCTGGCAAACACACTTGTCACTACTACACTACACAGGAACCTATAAAAAGTAACATCAAACTACAACCCATACTCAAAGGAGACCCCATCCTCAAAGAAATCTTGCCTTAACTATCTTTTCTGGCCGTCAAACAAATCTCAAACCTCTCCATGCTCATCAAAAGCAAGCTCCCCCACAGACCAGGACATTCCAAATCAAATCTGTATCAGATCCTGCCAGAGTACCCTACAGACATATCTCCATTGCTATACTTGCTAATGAGTAAATCTGGCTATGGAAAGCCCTGAACCTCAGTCCTCCCTCTCCCTTCCCCTCACCCCGTGGAACCAGAGCGCCAGAGAAGTGAGTTGTCTCAGTTGGGGGCCACATCAGTGAAAGTTGGGAGGGGGGGGGGGTTGGAGGAGGTTTTTTGCTTCTCACTTGTGTGGTTCCCAACTGATTTTTCTGTGGGTCAACAACCCCCAACCCAAAAAAGATTCCTCACCTCTGCCATAAAGAAAACATTGAAGCCTTTTGTGTTGGTCATACATTCATATTTTATTTATTTAAAATGAAGTTTGATAAACTAACCTGAGAAAGTTAAAACTATTATTCTGTTTAATAACTTAAATTAAACTGTTCTCTCTAGCAGCAGCACTAGCAAAATGGCTCAGGAGTAATTATGTAGTTAACAGTGAGTTTCCATTAGGAGCTGATGGTCCATAAAAAAGGTGTAAATGGAGTCAGGTGGTCCACAGGCCAGAAGGCTTCAGAATCACTGAAAAAGAGCAACCCTGAGAGACTGCCCTGGGCTCCACAAAAGCCCTGGGCTCCACAAAAGCCCAAAGAGAGATTGGGTCTGTTACCACAGTGGTGAAACCACTGTGTCACTCCAGTGTGGATGATGGACAAACTCTTTAAGAGTCTTCCTCATCCAAGCAGTTGATGATTTAAGCCAGGCACGTCCAAAGTCCGGCCCGCGGGCCAATTGCGGCCCGTGTTCCGGTTTAATACGGAAATTTGGCAATATCTATCTTTTATGGCCCCCAACGAATCCATATGTATTGAGATGAATACATTGTAAAATCTCAGTTAATGTCAGTTGGTCTAAATCAGTTATAAATATATTTGGACACAACATGTATACTTGGTGTTATGTTCCTGTTCATATTTTTTGAACTTAAAAGTTGACAGACAACCTTTATTACCAATAATATGTAATGTACTTTACAATGTTCCTGACATATATTTCAGCTTCCTGGATTTTTTTTTTCATCTGGCCTTCAGATATGAAAGGCAGAGTGATTTAACACCTGTTTAGATTTGTCATCCATGTGACGAAATGAAAAGTATGCCGTTTGCAATAAACTTTGCATAAAATAGTTAATTTGCATTTAATTTTAATGGTTCAAAGAATGTCAGGCAAAATGGTCGGCCCTCACGCATGTTCACTTCATCAAATCTGGCCCTCTTTGAAAAAAAGTTTGGACACCCCTGATTTAAGCAGTGTGTTAAGATGCCACGTGAAAACACATGGCATGTCCACAGGGAGGCGAGATGTAACGTCTTACTACAACAGGGCTACTCAACTTTGGAAGCCCCTGGGGTCACAATGATACTCACAACACATGACAAGGGCTGCAACTTAAGTGTGGTTGCATATACATGCAAATATATGTATGCAAATAGCTTCTTTCACACTGACGGGCATGAACATAAAGATTAAGGCAAGACTACACAACATGCAAACCCCATTTAAGTCAGTTCTGTTGATATTAATAAAATGCAATATTTAATTTCCACCCATATGACAGCATTTTTAATGAGCAATGACAATTCAGGAATTTAACTACTAAAGTACATATCAAAAGAAGACCATTATATTGACTTGCTGTTGTGGAGTGTGTCCCCCGTGGGGGCCATGTTCAAAGGATCCCACCCGCAGGCCGCATGCTGAGCCCCGTGTAAACCCAAACTGCACCACGGGCCGCAAACAAACGGGATGTGGGCCACATGTTGAGTAGCCATGCTCTACAGAGAGGACTGTCATGATTTTTATTATTGGTAAATAAGCCATTTGTGAGCTCTGTGAAGAGGTGAGATGTTTTGACTTTCAGTTTCAAGGGATTTGTTTTTCTGTCTTTTGGCTGCACGTTGGTAAGACCTGAATGGAATTAGCTGTGGCAACACATTTCTGAATTATTCTGACACCAAAATGAAACCTGTACTAAAGACCCCACATCCAGGGAGAGAAAGTGCTGCTGTTAGAAGTCAATTCAAAATCTCTCCAATTTTCATCAAAGATGGCCTCTACCAAACAGTGGAGCTTTTACTAATTGGTGCCTTATATTTTTGAAGGGTGACTAAATGTTAACTGGATCTTCTTGGTAATGTCAACAGACTGCATTGGGCCCAATCCTAGTTTAAAGTTGAAATTGGATCAGGCCCTTTTGTAAGCAGGTTTGGAAGTGGTCTCATTTAGCAATTATTATTAGGTATTATTTACATAATATAAGCACTGCCATCATGGTATTGATACATACATTTCTTAGTAGCTTTACATATAAAATAGCCCAGCCCCATTGACCTCCATCAGAAATGTACCTTTAAGAACATAAGAACAGCCATACTGGGTCACAGCAAAGATCCACCTAGCCCAGTATCCTGTCTGCCGACAGTGGCCAACACCAGATGTCCCAGAAGGAGGGATCACAACAGGTAATCCTCATGTGATCCCTCTCCTGTGACCCACCTCCAGAGAAACAGAGGCTAGGGATACCATTCCTACCCAACCTGGCTAATAGCCATTGATGGATCTAACCTCCATGAATCAATCTAGCTCTTTTTTGAACCCTGTTAAAGTTCTAGCCTTCACTGCATCCTCTGGCAAGGAGCTGCACAGGTTGGAAGATCACCGGATGCTTTATTTACCTGAGTCGGATAGTATGGTAGCTCACAGTTGCACACAGTTCACCATTCCCGGCCAATGGGAGATGTTGGAATGGCAAACCATGGCCAACAGGAGCTGCCAGCAGCTGTACCAGTGAATACCAAGGTAAATACAGAGTCTGGCAGCCCATGGGCTGCCTATTGCCCAACCCTCCTCTCAGGGATGCAATGGATAATCCCTTATTCTTTAGGACAAGCAAGTACTCTAAAATACATTGCAAAAACTAGATTAACCTCTTATCTGATATTCACAAGAGAAGTCTCCTTATTTTAGATTATACCATTTTATAGTTGATTTTTTAAAATATTACGTAATACACGAGTCTCAAAAATTGTCAGAGTCCTGTAGCCCATGATGTGAGATGTAGTGCTTCAGTCTGGATGGTACATCTTTCCCCTTGTGATAGGAGATTCAGTTATACCAATGAACATCTGAATTTCCCTCTAGAGAGGAGAAACAAGCCAGAGGCTCGAAAAGGTCTACATATTTTTCCATGGCTCACTATAAGAAGTGGTTGAATTGCGTTAGCCTAATCTTTCCAAAACAATAGACAACATAAGACAGAGCAAGTATGGAAAATATTAGCATAATATGAGTTATAATGGAACTCATACAGGCATTGCTATCAGCACTGACTAATACCACCAATATTCCATGACCCATACAGTACCCAAATAAAAATATAGAGACTGAATTATGATAATGATTAATAAATCATAACTGTCATTACAATTTTATCTCCGTGATTTGGCCGGTATAAATTTGACTCAGTGCACTTTGGTGATATTTTATCTATAAATTTTATCATACCAAGTCAGCGGAAAGAACAGGAGAGAGAAATACTCCAACCCTAAAACAGTGCTCTGAAACGCACGATTTCTTATGGCAGCTGTCAAATTAATGACATCTCCAAAGCTATCTGAATAGAGTTTCTGGGCATAAATCCAATTATGTTCTTTCTATCTGAATACCCCAAAAAAGTCCTGCCGAGGTTAGAAGTGGAAGTAATTTTAAGTGCAGATTAGATATATAACCAGTTCCAAAACTGAAACCAGAAATAGAGAACAAAAATATTCGCATACATGTCCTTATCTGGAAGTGAAGGGGGAAGGGAAAATAATTTTTGGTATTCATCTGGCAAAAAGTCAAAATCATTATCTTGTCCAAATTTGTCACTTATTAGATGCACCTCACAAAATAAAATGTCTAGATTACAAAATTTACATCAGCTTGCTAAAATTACTTTATGCAGCACAAATTTTTCTTCACTCATTAGGGTCCTACGTAGAGATTTTATCAAAAAACCGATTAACTAGTATCCATATAACTGATAACTAGTATCTGAGGCGCAACCCTCTGCCCGCTTTGACAGGCCACTGCGCGGGGTTGCTGTCCCCCAGCCTATATGGACTAAGAGCCGACAGTCCTGTCTGGAAGTGGCAGCAGTGCTTGCTGCAAGGGGGCCG